TGTACTTCAGTGCAAGATTAAAACTTTTATAGTACTCTTATTGTTTGGCTGTGTACAACTCTACAGATGAACTCCTTTGAGATGTATATAAGATTACCAATCCTTCTACTGATGAAATCTCTGCAGCAGCATATAACCATACAAATGTCATCTTTCTTTTATACATCTCAGTTTACTGATACATGCCTTTCAGTACTAACGTCACAGAAAAATTCCTTTCGGGTCTTTGTGTATGTATATATATGTACAGAAAATTAATACTTAAACAGTCAAACAATATATGTATATACACTTGTCATAGTTTTCAGCATAAAGACGATCGTTCATATGACCTTATCTTAACTAAATTTACATGTTGATCATCTGTGAATCTAAATAGTTATGATGTTTTCTGACAATACTTCAATAACTTATCACGTTACTGGCATAGCTCACTATCTATGAATACATCTGAATGTATTTACTTTGCTGACAATAATTTCTCAGCTAATAAGGCTAAAGATTCTTTGCTGTAAATGACAAGTGTTGCTTTATTTATTTTTATTTTTTCTATTCATGAAATGTGTACATGGCTCAGCAACAATGCAGAGTAACTTACAAAGAAAAAAAAGTATGTTTATTACATTTTCTTTATGATGGCTCTTGTCCTACAGCGGGTTAAAAAGAAACATTATTGCCATAAAATGTTTACTGAAACCTGTACAAACATAGCAAGCCTGCTTTAAAGTCACTAAATTTTTCAAACTCCAAACAAAACTCACTGCTCTTCAGTTTGTTACTTGCACTGAAGTATACAACACCAGTGCAAGTTTAATACTGTTGTAGTATACCCCAGTGCAAGTTTAATACTGTTGTAGTGTACCCCAGTGCAAGTTTAATACTGTTGTAGTGTACCCCAGTGCAAGTTTAATACTGTTGTAGTATACCCCAGTGCAAGTTTAATACTAATGTAGTATACCCCAGTGCAAGTTTAATACCATTGTAGTATACCCCAGTGCAAGTTTAATATCATTGTAGTAAACCCCAGTGCAAGTTTAATACCATTGTAGTAAACCCCAGTGCAAGTTTAATACCATTGTAGTAAACCCCAGTGCAAGTTTAATACCATTGTAGTAAACCCCAGTGCAAGTTTAATACCATTGTAGTAAACCCCAGTGCAAGTTTAATACCATTGTAGTAAACCCCAGTGCAAGTTTAATACCATTGTAGTATACCCCAGTGCAAGTTTAATGCTGTTGTAGTGTACTTCAGTGCAAGATTAAAACTTTTATAGTATACCCCAGTGCAAGTTTAATGCTGTTGTAGTGTACATCAGTGCAAGATTAACACTGGTGTTGTAGTGTACTTCAGTGCAAGTTTAACACTGGTGTTGTAGTGTACTTCAGCACAAGTTTAACACTGGTGTTGTAGTGTACTTCAGTGCAAGTTTAACACTGGTGTTGTAGTGTACTTCAGCACAAGATTAACACTGGTGTTGTAGTGTACTTCAGTGCAAGTTTAACACTGGTGTTGTTTACTTCAGTGCAAGTTTAA